CTACCGAAAACAGCACCAATATTGAGCCGAAACAGGAAAAAAACACGTCAAAGTCGGTCCAAAATAAAGGTGATGCTCATCGTTTTCTTTGATTACTGCGGTGTGGTTCATCATTAATTCATTCCACAGGGTCAAACTGTCAATAAGGTATACTACTTGGCCGTTTTGAGGCTTCTACATGAAGCAATTTGTCGTGAATGACCGGACTTGTGGGCAGAAAATTCATGGATTTTCCACCACGATAATGCGCCGTTACAATCTAACATGATGTTGATTGACCTTTAGGCGAAAAACGAAAAGAAAGTCATCGCTCAGCCATTGTAAACGCCAGATTTGGCCCCCTGTCACCTTTTTCGGTTTTTGAAATAGTAAAATCCGCTTGAGGGAACGAGCCATGAGTTCAATCACCCAATATAATATAAAAATCGCCAGACAAACTCCAAATCAGTTCGGCTCAAATTAGATCTTGAGTGTACTCGTCCTTCAGGTGCGTCGGCTCAGTGTTTTTCCAGAACCAACGCCGCGTTCCCCTACATAAAAGCAGTCCTTTGGCTAACGGAATATTTGATTCTGTAGTCAGCTCTGAGTTGACTATGCAAATAGTAAGCAAATCTAATATGTACTATTTTCCAAATGCAATAGGGGTTTTTAGATCAGTTCACTTCGTTGAATACCTGTTTTCGTTTAGGCTTATAGTTAAGTAGTACTGCTTAGATCCAAAATAAGACATGCTACGTCTGATAAGCCCATTAGCTCTTGAATACATCTTTGGAAAGAAAGTATTCTATTTTTTATATTTTTTACCTCCACAATCGCGGAAGACGAGTGTAACGGCTTTAATAAATTGCTTTATAAATAGAGAATTCAGACCACTATGGAACGAACGTCCGCATAAGGCAATGTTAAGCATCCAAATGTGTTCTAGCCTGAAAACCAAAAATTCCGTGAAGCGTTTACATTTATTTATAAGTAAAACTAAGTCGCAAACTTAAAAAAGGATTCTAGGAACTATAAGATCCTCGATGAACAATATATAATAAATCGCATTTTTGGTAAATTTCGAAGTTTTAAAAAAATGTATAGTCGTCTTATAGTTTTTAATGAGTATTACCGCAATATGTCGCGAATTTTTTCATTTTATTTCTATATAGCTCCAAACCTTTGATATTAAAATGCAATGTCTCATTCTTCGATTATAACTTCTTAATTCTCTTTATATCTCTCCTTCCAACTCTTTTCCAGATCGTTGCCCGACGTCATGATCTCAAGCTCATCGTCACTTCTGCCACTATGGATTCCACAAAATTCGCCACATTCTTTGGTAATGTACCGAACTTTACCATACCCGGACGTACTTTCCCCGTCGATGTGATGTTCAGTAAAAATACTTGCGAGGACTATGTCGAATCGGCGGTCAAACAAGCACTACAAGTCCATCTTACACCCAACGAGGGTGATATGCTAATATTCATGCCCGGTCAAGAGGATATTGAAGTCACTTGTGAAGTGTTGGCCGAGCGTTTGGTGGAAATCGACAATGCACCTGAACTATCCATACTACCAATCTACTCACAGTTACCCTCGGATTTGCAAGCGAAAATATTTCAAAAATCACCCGAAGGCTTACGCAAATGTGTGGTCGCTACAAATATAGCGGAGACCTCACTTACCGTCGACGGTATTATCTATGTCATCGATGCCGGTTATTGTAAACTAAAAGTCTATAATCCGCGTATCGGTATGGATGCACTGCAGATTTATCCCATATCACAAGCAAATGCCAATCAACGTTCGGGTCGTGCCGGTCGTACCGGGCCCGGACAGGCGTTCCGTCTCTACACACAACGACAATACAAAGAGGATCTACTGCCGCTGACTGTGCCCGAAATACAACGTACCAATTTGGCGAATACGGTGCTGTTGCTGAAATCGTTGGGCGTTGTGGATCTGCTGCAGTTTCATTTTATGGATCCTCCACCACAAGATAACATACTCAATTCGCTGTATCAGCTGTGGATACTCGGCGCTTTGGACCACACTGGCGCATTGACACCGCTCGGTCGGCAAATGGCTGAATTTCCACTCGATCCGCCGCAATGTCAAATGTTGATCGTCTCCTGTCAAATGGAGTGCAGCGCTGAGGTGCTCATCATAGGTAAGTGTTAATATTTAATTTGTTTGTTAGCTTATGCTTATATAAAATTTGTATTTTCTCACTTTTGCAGTATCCATGCTCTCCGTGCCCTCCATTTTTTACCGCCCCAAGGGACGCGAGGAAGAAGCTGATGGTGTTCGAGAGAAATTCCAAGTGCCGGAGTCGGACCATCTCACCTACCTCAATGTGTACCTGCAGTGGAAGCAGAATAAGTAAGTAATTGGCGTTAACTTCTACAATTCACTCACTAACGGTTTTCAATATATTTTCCACACCCCGCAGTTACAACTCCAGCTGGTGCAATGAGCACTTCATACACGTCAAGGCAATGCGTAAAGTACGTGAAGTCCGCCAACAGCTCAAGGACATTATGATACAGCAGAAACTCAATGTGAAATCCTGCGGTACCGATTGGGACATTGTGCGCAAGTGCATTTGCTCGGCATATTTCTACCAAGCAGCGCGTCTCAAAGGTATTGGCGAGTATGTCAATTTGCGTACCGGCATGCCGTGCCATCTGCATCCCACCTCCGCGCTCTATGGTCTCGGCACCACTCCCGATTATGTGGTTTATCATGAGCTCGTAATGACCGCCAAAGAGTATATGCAATGTGCCACAGCTGTCGACGGCTATTGGTTGGCCGAACTGGGTCCTATGTTCTTCTCTGTAAAGGAGACCGGTCGCAGCGGACGTGAGAAGAAGAAACAGGCTGCGGAGCATCTGAAAGAAATGGAGACGCAGATGCAGTTGGCGCAAGAGCAGATGGAGGAGCGTAAATTGCAGGCGGCCCAACGTGAGGAGCAAATGACACCGAAGCAGGAGATCATAACACCCGGTGATGCCACGCCCAGACGTACGCCGGCGCGCATTGGCTTGTAATTGTGGCAAGTTCGCAGCGTTGCACCGCCGACAAGCACACATGTATATGTGCATAGATACTCGTGTTACACTTCTTATGACCGTGGAGAATGTGTTCTCTGTGTTCACTAGGTCAATTTAATATTCTGTATTTTATCATTGAAATAAAGTGAATTACAAAGGTGTGTTAAAAATCGGATTTGGATTCTAATTCGAACAAGCATATTAAACGGAATTCATTTCTTAGAGATGATTGTTGTGAAAACGGATGGGAATTCGAGCTCTATCCAAATGGATTTTACATACCTCATAGCACATACATTTGTATGTATGACTTGATTTGAGATAATTTTAAGCAGAAAAATATTTCCATCGCCAGACACCTTTTTTCGGACGTGTTTCAATAGATCGGCTACGGGATCTAGGGAATCCAAAAAATTTCGAAAATGAATCGCCGATAATGAAAGTAGATTAAATTCTGCAATTATTTATTAAACAAAATACCTCTCCAAAAAAAGTCCACAAAAACAAAAACACGAATTTCTTTCTGATTTCCAAAAATTGCTCGTTCATTAGTTTTCAATGCTTAGTTCGTGTGCAAAATTTTCATTAAATATGTCATAAATTCTGTTCAGAAACAACTTATTTCTATTACTTATTATATTTTACTGATAATTAATTTTTATGACCTTCATAGTGCAATAAATTGGTTGGAGTAGACAAGCAAATCGAGTCTATAATCTCTATGGGTTTTTTTTATAAACTTTGTAACTGTTGAAAATATATTTTTGACGTTTTATATTAGGCAAAGAAGTATAAATTTTCGAAATTAAAAAAAAAATATTTAATTGAGCTGCTACTTTACAAAAGTTAGATGCACTAATTCACAGTTGGAAATCTAATTTTTAATTCCAACATCTAAAATAAAAATTAAATTTTTATTCTGTTTTTCGGAGTCTGAGATGTTTGGGATTGAAATTTGAAATTTTTTTTTTATTTCATAGTAAAGCTTTAAAGTTTTATTTTTATAACCAAATAATTTAGAACTGAATAATTATAAAATATAAATCCTACGAATGTGTACGTTTGCCGATCAGTGGTCTAGACTATTGAAGATGATGGCACTGTGCGAGCTCTAGTTAAAAATGGTAGAACACGAGGTATGCAAACGCGAAAGAATGCAAATTCTAAAACAATTTGTTTTTATTAAATTTTTAATCCCAAGCCTATAATTAAAAAGTAAAAAAAGAATTGTTTTAGCATTAACTTTTTTTTCACATTTTAAAAATAAATGTTTAATTCGGTTTTCGAGATTGCAATTTTTTTTATTTTGCAATCCCATATTTGGGATTAAATCTTATTTAGTTAACATTCCGGTATTTGAAATTAAATTATTTTTAATTAAGATTCAAGAGATTCCAAAATAAAATCAAATTTTATTCAAATGTTAATTCAATTATTTTTATACCCTGAACAGGGTATATTAAGTTTGCCACGAAGTTTGTAACACCCAGAAGGAAACGTCGGAGACCATATAAAATATCATACATACACAATCAGCATGATCAGCCATGTCCGTCTGTCTGTCTATATATACTGGAACTAGTCCCTCAGTTTTTAAGCTAGCTGACATACAAACTGAACAATCGGAAATGCTTGTATGGAATACTCTTTCATTTGACGAAGTATCCTCACGAAATTTGGCATGGGTTATTATTAAAGGCAATAATACAATCTCCGAAGAAATTGTATAGATCGGATGACTATAGCATATAGCTGCCATATAACCTGAACGAGGGGAATAAAGCGCTTGCATTGAAAACCTTTTTTATTTGACGAGGTATTTTCACGAAATTAGATCGGAATCAAGTTCTTGTAAGGAACCTTTTTATTTGTGAAGGATATTATAGCTTCGGTGCAACCGAAGTTAACGCATGTTCTTGTTTAATGAATTATTTGTAAGCCCGGTTCCAATGAAAACAGTTATTAACATAGTTAGACTTTCCTTTATTCAATATATAATAGCTGAGCGCAATAACAAAAATATATAATGTAGACAATGTAAATTTCCAATAGGGAATGCTTACATATTGTATGTATGTGTTAAAGCATGTGTTTTTTTTATATTTAAGGTATACAAGTATAAATCATTCGTAGCAATCTAATCTAAACGAAACAATCAATATATAACGTGCTAGATAATTGCTTGCCAGGTAACAGCTTGCTTATTCCTTGCGATTAGCCAAGGTTTGTTCGATTTCCTCCACGGTGCGTGGCACTTTGGCGAAATTTTCACAACCGACCTCTTTAATGAGGACATCGTCTTCTATGCGGACACCACCAAATTTGCGGAAACGTTCATACACTTCTTTCACGATGAACTTGTTGAGATTGGGATCGGCAAGTGCACGATCCATAAGATATTCAATGAAGTAACAACCCGGCTCAACGGTTACGTACATGCCCGCTTTCAAAGTGCGCGCGAAACGTAATTTGGACAGCCATGGTTCAGCTGGGCGTTCTGGGTGCCCTGTTAGGTAGCCACCAACATCGTGCACATCCAAACCAAGTAAATGGCCCAGACCGTGTGGTTGGAAAATGCCCGCCAAACCAGCGTCAAGCATATCCTCAACCTCACCTTTTAGCATGCCACCTTCTTTTAACTTCGTTAGCATAACACGACATGCCAATTTGTGCATATCCACCCATGAGACGCCTTCGCGTGCTTCCGCCAGCACAGCGTTTCGCCCAGCCAAGACGGCATTGTAAATGAATTTCTGATCTTCGGTGAATTTGCCATTTGCTGGGAAGCTGCACGTTATATCAGCTGCATAACCACAATAATTTGCACCCATATCGAACAGGCACATATCACCATCGCGTACTGGTCCATCATTTGGTGCACCCGCGTGACCGTAGTGCAGCACTGACGAATTCACACCACTACCGCAAATGCAAGTGTATGAGGCGTGTCGACAGCCACCAACGGCGTAAGCGTGGTGCAGAAATACCGCCTCACCCTCATACTCTGAACGTCCTGGACGCATAAACTGCATGACACGTATGTGAGCATCCGAAGACACTTTTGCGACATAACGTAGAACCTCAATCTCTTCGGGTGATTTGATGACGCGACACTCAGCTATCACTGGATGCAAGAGTTCACAATCGACGATGAATTTCTCGATCCCTTCAAAACGTGCTGGTTTCGACACTAAGCCACTATCCGTGTTGGGACCACTCAATGTCAGAATGACGGAAGGCTGTGCCCTCTCGAAGAATGTATTTAATTCGTCCACATAACGCACCTCATCTACTTCGTACATTTTTTTGAATTCATCACATGTATACAATTTTCCCATCCATGTGGCATATTCTTCAGGTAAACGGGGCACAAATAAAGTAGATAAGCCAGTATGAACTTTCAGCACACCATAACAACCTGGCTCCTTGACACCAAACAAATATTGGAAATAGGACTCCTGACGGAAAGCATAATTCACATCCGTATCGTTGAAGCTAACATCGTCACCACCAGAAAGCAAAACATGAGCTTTAGGTTTAACAGAACTGTGTTCCTTCAGTGCAGCGCACAATTTCTCCCGGTTTTTCCGGAATAGTGACATTGGCACAGAGTGCGTCATTGGACCCAAACGAAAGGTGGCCATTTTGTTGTGACTTTGCTTAGTTTAGTACTGTAAAAAAAGCTAGCTGTAAATTATGGTTCTATTATTTATATGTCAGTTTTTCTGCTATCACTTACGTGTGCTTAGTTAAAATTTCAAACCGCAACTGGTTTTTGTTCCCGTATAAGTTTTATCTCGTTTTCTGTGGTTGTCCACTTAATATTCCAATGGTTTTATTGCAGTTCAGCTAATCAGTAAACTGGGTGGAAGACACAAGTTGTAATCGTCAGCGGAGAAACTTTTTCTATTTTTTATTTTTGTTATTGCTATTGTTTTGGATTCATTTTGTTGTTGCACATTCAGCTGATTAGAGCTGACACTATGATTTTGTGCTAGTACTGACAGGGCCACAATTTCTGAACGATAATTTATCGATTAAAAATATCGAAATGTATTGTGTCGAGAATGTCAATGTCAAAAATATCTTTAGACTTACATTTTCAATTGAATAAAGTAAGATGATATTAAATTTTTTTATTTTAATGCATGTTTCCGCGGTAAAATAACTTTTAAAATAGTTGGGAATATAAGGATTACCTACTTGCAAGCATACTAGATTATCAAAAATATGTCTACTATTAAAATCCAGGTCACTCACATAGTTGCAACGGCGAATCCATATGCAGAAGGTAGCTTAAACCAAATTACTTCAATTCAGTTTTTCAGGCGGAAAAGTTTCTACTTCTAAGTTCACTCAGTAAAATTTAGGGGTCATCACAGTTAACCTTTGAAAAATTGGTAAAGTGGATTCGGCGGAATGTTGAACATGCGCGGAGGCTGTTGAGACGCTTTAATATTACCTTTGCGAATGCCCAGTCGTCAGCCGGTTGAGACGGGATATACTTCAGGGCTCCCAATGCTCCATATGAGACATTGGACAGCTGAGGTGAAACAAACCAAGTATTTTAGCAAATCCATTGCGTTGTAGGATAAGTTTTATTTGGTTACCACTCGAGAACAAAATGGGCCTAAAGCATTATTTGCAGAACACACTTTATATAAAGCATAATGTTTCCCAATATTTCTCTCTTAATCCGATTTTTACTACTCTTACGTGCGACCACAGATGACACCCGACGGATGACAGTTTCGAATAATAAAATGGACCCAAACTTCAGCTTTTTAAGTGTCAATTCCCAGTCTTTACATTTATTCAGCTTGATCTAATTTTAGTTTGAAAAGGAAAAAACCCGAAAAAAAATATTGAATGTTAAAATTCCTAGAGCTATACTAGAACATATAAATTTAGATAAGCTGAGTATCGACAAAAATATATAAAGAGCCTATAAACGGAATGAAACTGAAACTGGCTAGCGTTAGGCATCTATGCAAAATTAAAGCCTTATTTTTTACTGATCACCACTTTTTCAAAGTGTTCCTTGGCGGTGTGAGTAGTGTGAGCGCCGCCCGCGTGACGTGGCACACACATGCGCATCGAAACTCTCTGCTGATTGAGCCAGGCGTTTGGTGCATGCGGAAAATCATCTTTTCGATAATAGCCCATGATGCCTGACTTGCGTATCGAACCGATTTCGTAGGTGATTAGTGGGCTCAACAAATTCGAAGCGTGCGCATTCGGCAGTTTTGCCACTTTCGATTTCTCCATCGTACGCATGACACATGTGGTGTCGCAGGAGATGCAGGCAAGATCTTGCAACACCTTTATACGTGCACCCGCTGCGGCGCACTCGTCATTCGTGGCGTCCATATACTTGCGCAGTGTCTCCTGTAGTCCCTGTATTTGCGCCTCTATCTTCTCCTTAAATCTATTCAGTATATCATCTACAGATGCCAAACCGAGCGTTATCCTTATATTATCCATAGCCTGATACATATTCTTATCGTTGGTTTTGATTTGATTTTGAACTTCGGTGAATTTCTTATCCAAACGGCATTGAAACTCTTGCATCTGCTCGTTGGAGACTTTACGTTGTAACTGATTGTAGTCGACTTTATCGGCTAGTAGTATCTCAATTTCACTCTTATCGATCTTATCATTCATAATTTCGTCTATGGTCTTGGTGAGCTCATCAATGGTCTCACTATAGTTAATGTTTTTCGATTCCATGCGATCGGTAGCCTCTTTCAAACTGGTCACATAAAATTTCAGATCTTTGAGCTGTTCCTGTAGATCGGCGATGAGCCTTGTAGTGCGTTGGCAATCCTGTTCGAGTATGGTGGCAGTAATTTCATTGACTTTATTCGTAAGCATACAGAACTCTGACTTCAGGTCCATCAGTTGATCCAATAGCTTGTCAGGTGAGTAGCAGAGATGACCATCTAACTCGTATTCTTCTTGTGTTTGTCGAGTTGCTGGTTGTACCGTAATGTGTGAGGTCAGTGGCGATTTGTAGGAGGGATCGCTACGCACGCTTTCCTCCTCACCTTCCTCATCTTCAACTCCATCTTCCAGACGGTCCAAATCGGGATCGAAGTAGGTATCGTCTATCCGAAAGCCATATGCATTTTCTATATATGTATTCTCCTTTTGTATGGCAATCATTTTCTTTACTAAGGATTGCAATTGTTCTATTTGCATGGGCGTGGCTCTCTTTTGTACTGTAGTAGAAACGATAAGCCGCATAAGTTCCATTACCAATTCAAGTTGGTCCTTCATAATGGTAATGCCACGATAGACGGAACTCGTTAATTGTTGATGTTCTAACTGTATAGCAAGATCAATTTCTTCACCCGAAGTTTTTGCTTCGAGTGGTTGATCGAACACCTCCTCACCAGTTGCTGGTACAATTTCTAGTTCTATTGGTTTGTCAATTGATTGCTTTGTCGCTTGTGGTGCAGCCGGTTCAGATGGTGGCTCTAAATGTCCTTCTTGCTCTACTTCCTGCAGAGGTTCCTCTTGTGCCAGTTGTGCTTCCTCGCCTCCTTCATCTCCCTCTCCTCCTTCAACACCTTCACCACCTTCTGCTTCTTCAATTTCTGTTCCTTCAGCGGTCACAGCATCATCGGGATCAGCCCCACCCGTCTCTCTTTTACGATTGCGTTTCATCAATTTCTGGTTAAATTCCGCTAACGGCTTTGCTGTTTCTTTAGCATGACGTAGTGCGGAGCCTTTACTATGTGCAAAAGTGACTGAGCCCTGATATTGATCACAGGAATCACTACCGAACTTGCCACTGCTCATAACTATCGAAACATTTTCGTACTTCGTGTTGTCCACTGGTTCATCGATAAGGTTCAGCTTTTCGGCGAATGAAAAAAGTAAAAAATGCAGCGCGTAAAAATTTACATGTCCCGGCTCCGGTGAACCGATAGCCAGATCGATTAGTTGTCGAAAATTCAGTTCTGTTGACATTATAACTTGTAAAGTTTAAGAAAAGAATTTATTTGAAATGGAAAATGTTCTAAAAAAATAAGTTCTCCGAAAATATACTAATATTCTATTTCTGTTGTCAAATTTGAAATGTAATTCAATTCCTTAAAAAATTAGTCAATTAAGAATACTTCGAAATGTGAAAGCTTTCAGCACTGATATGTATTTTTTTAGTATAATTCACCTAAAACAAAAATACTAAAACTATATATAGATTCAAGGGAGGGGTTATGGGATCAATCTTGATAGAAAATTTAACTTACATACAACTATACTATCGGGTTTTTAAACGTGGAGCCTATAGTAAAACAGTTAGATAATATTCTTACTCATAAGGTAAGGTACAAGATATTGGTCATAATAGGTTTTGGTTCCGATGTCTGACCTGGGTCTTATATAGAGGAGAAATATTAGATGAGATCTGACTTGAAAAGACAATATCGAAAATTCGAGACGATTAAACCGATAACCAGTAAAACTGAGCCTGCTATAAATCATACCCTTTTTTTTAAGGAATCGTGAGGAATAGCACATAGGAATTCGTTATCTATAAACATCTTTATACAATTTTAGCTTGATAATGAAGTTTTGAGTAATTTTTTTTGTTTTTGGTTAACGTTTGAACGAAGCAGAAGAGAAAGTGTAGGTGGGAAAGGAATTCGTTTTTAATGCAACAGACTTCGAACGATTTCGTTAAAATCATCGATGTCGCCAGACAAAATGCTCAGAACTAAACCAACCACGTTAAAATAAGATTCTGATCATTATCGTGTAGGGCCGTGACACACATGATATCATTGCCCTACTGCTTGCAAAATAAATACATCCAACAAATTCGCTACTCGAGTTTTTTTTCGAGTATATCGAGAGGTACAACGATAATTTCCGCACGAATGTTTACCTTCAGCTATTCAAAGATTCGAGGATGGATAGTGTTGGGAGATTTCAGTCTGGAGATATGGATGGTTGGTAAGTGGCATATTTTTTTGACACCAAATGTTTTGGAAATATTCGGCGTAGAACTGAATGGTTTAATTTATAGTGTTTCATGACGTGCCATCTTGTTGAAACCTGGAAACCTTTATACACAGATATAATGAGCTAAAATTAATGGATATCAATTTCCATCGATTTTTTTTGCTTTATTTGAAAAAATATTGACAGCGTGCTTCGACCTTAACAGTCATTGGTTGGTCATAAACTGCGCTCCATTGATCTCTAACGAAGTTTTCATTCCCTAAATACGAAAATTTATTAAGACCAGACAGTGCGAAATGGGTCTTAGGGAATTAAAAATATTTCCTAATAAACAAAAAAAAATATATATATACCTATATGTATATACATTGTCTTTACAGTTTAAAAAAAGCCTTTTGAATTCGTAAAGCAATCGAAACTCGCTAATATTTTCACTTTGAAGAAAACCGCCGCGTATTTTTGAATTGAAAAGGAAGAACAAGAATCATGGGCAAAAGTTACGCACTCTTCAGAGCTTTTCACGTTGGCATATATTTTATAGTATTTATCGAGAAAAATCGTAAATATACAAATTTTTTAGCCGTTACACAGAACCCGATGCTAACTTTTTAACCTTAAAAACAAATTTTGAGCTGAGTTTAAATAATGAATGAAAATTTCCCACGTAATTTGTCAAAATATAGCAATTATGGTAAAATGTAGTCTAACTGCAAGCCATATGCTCATACTACAACAAAGATTCACGGGTCGATATAGGTTAAATGCTTTAAAAAAAAAAGGTGAAAAAATAGTTAATAATTAATTTGTCAGTCAAATGTTCCAAACTCGCACGCTCTCTGTTTCGCTTGCAGGCAAATGACGTCACGTGCTGCCTGCGGGTGCAAAAAGCTTCGATAGCACGCACACAGTTCAGTATATATGTACGTATATCGGCACAATTGTAAACAGAACAGCTTCGCCGTCGAGCTTTTATGACTGTTAATCAATTTGGCGGCTTTCTGCCAACCAATAAAAGTCTCAATGCGACAGAAGTTCGAAGGCATTCAAACGTGCGGAACGTGTATTTCGGCGAAAGTGAAAAAGCGGAAACGGAAAACAAATTTAAAAACTAACTGTGTAAATAAACAATTGAAAGAAGGGAAGTAACTAAAAATAACAAATGGATATACATATGTAAGTGTGTGGATAATGGAAAAAATATAGTGTCTAAGTGACCTTTGGGCAAAGTGTGTAAAAAACAAAGCAAACAAACGCTCGTATACATACATATGTATGTATGTTCGCGTAGGCGTGTATGTTTGGCTAACGTGTGAATTGGCAAGGAATGCTGGATGGCTAGAATCATCAGGTGGCAGGGCGAAGAGCAAAATAAGTGTTTCTTATGTTTACAACGATTTGCACACATAGTCTACGTAACTATGTAAACGGGTAAATTAAAGTACAAGGGAAACAACTGCGTGAGTGCGGAAAAGAATTTTTTTGGAAATGTAATTAATAGTTGGTTGTCAAAAAACAAAAAAAAAATTAACTATAATAAAAAATAAAAATAAATGAAAAATTATACTAATAATGATGAAAATATATTTGTAATGTTGTCAATATATGTATATAAAAAAATTACTTTTTGGAGTGTGATATTTTTTTATTGCTTAAAATTATAAAAAAAAATGTGCGTGAATTATGCAACAGTGTTTTGTGAAAGCATCAATTCAGAAACACTGAACAAAAATATTAAATTTTAATAACTGTGCTGCTTTAAAATATTATATGAATTGGTCAGCCAACTGGATTTATGCGAGTAAGTACATATTTTTATATACATACATGTATATTAAGTAAAATGTTTTTAAGTGTATGTATTAAAAATTATTATAAGTATTTTTGGTAATTTTTTAAAATTATAATTTAATAATTATTAATTGTTTTAGTTATAATTAATTAAAAAAGATATATATAAAAAAAAAAAATATTTTAAATATAATTTTGGTAAATTTATTTTATTTTTGGTTTCATGCAAATATTTTTTCCACAAAAATTTCTATTTGCAACGAATAAATTGAAATTTATTACAAAATATATAAAATAATAATTATAACCTGCAAGCTCCTATATTTATATAACTCCCTAATTGCTACCGGTTAGAGCTACTACTATATACATACATATGTATGTTCATATATAATATACAGATATGTAAATCTAATTTTGTATTCAAATTGTTGGAAAAATGGTGATTCTTTTTTGTTGCGCTGTTAAGAAAGGCGCAAATATTTTAATATCAGTTTCCTTACCAACAAACTTACCTAAGTTTTTTCTAAATCGAAATGCAATCATTCACGCTAACTTAAAAGTACAAAGATAAGATAGCAATGCCGCCAGGCGTCGTAGTAACAAAAATTGCAAAGAAATCAAAAAATAATCGATTCGTTTACTTAAATAAATACTTCAAAGTGGTAAATTGATATTTACAACACGGTGAAATACAGATAAATTTATGTAGATGTATATTTTAACGGACCCAAAAGGGGGTTGGTTAGGGTATCAGGAGCCCCCTGAAAAATAATGTAGTGTATTTGGATTATATACTACAAAATAATCTTATGGTTTAATATTTAATTTATATATATTATTACAATTTTAAGTTTCGTTTTTAGCAAAGAATTTTAAAATTTTTTTATATACAATAGGTTTGAATCTAATATTTTAGATTTTCTTATACGTCAAACATATAAGTAATAATATTTAAAAATTTTTCACTCTTCCCCTTTTTTTGTTCAAGTGGCAACTCTATTACAAAACATATCAAAATTAAGCACTTTTCGTAAAGCAGTAAAAACGTACTGAAACGTCTCAGAGTTTCAAATTTTTTTTTATTCTTCCTGACTTTTTTCTTACACGTTTTATATTTGTCACAACCTTTAAAATCTCAGTATTATAATTATTGTTTTCTCCGAATATATGTATGTACATATCTAAGGCATATTGTGAACTGATTGATTTAATGAAAATAAAGCAAAACCATAAATGTTCCTCCCTTAAAAGTTATTAACGTTGTATTATCATTGGCGATATTGTTCAATAAATTCTCATTTTATTATTTACAGTTTTTTTTTTTATTTAGAACTGTTGCTTTATTTCTAGCAAAGCGTAGTTTTTGTTAGTCAGATGACTTCACGCTTTTATAAGTATTTATACGAAGATATTTTGGACTTAAATCGCCGCCAAATGACACTACCTGCTTGTGGTAATCATTACTTCGAAATGTTTATCAATGTTTCTTATACGTCGTGGACTTCGAGCCTTTTGTCTGCTGAGTGATAAAAATTAGCGAAGCGGTTTAAAGTTAACATACACCATTAAAGCACAGACATCGCTTTTAATTAAAAAAGAATGGAGGTAGATTGTCCGATTTTGTTGTCACACATTTTATGTTGCTTGTAAAATTAAACTTCAAAATAGCGCATATGACCAGACTGATATATTGTATTTCTACAGAGCCAATTTCGGTGTATTTGTGGAGCTTTCTATATTATATGTATTATACTAACAGCAGTGTAGTATAGTTAGAAATTTTAGAGGGGGTTGAGTTCTGTTTTCAAATTTCAATTGCTCGTTTACTTGATGTTGAAAACAAGCTTTGTGCGAAAGATTTGTTTCGAGAATTCTTGCTGTCTGATTTGCAATTGAACTAACTGTCCACATTATTTATTAGAAATCGTTTCGGTTTACTGGAGGGGTCGCTTTTGGATCCAATTATAACTGTGATTTTTTGAAAGTTCTTTTATATCCATTTTTTTCATGCGACTTTTGAAGTGGCTTAGTTTTTAACTAACTTTCTCGAACTAAAAAAATACTAATTTTTGTGTTGTTGGTTTACTTACTTGTAAGAGAACGGTAATGCATTAAACAATATCTTGGAATGCACATCATTCAATATACAGAAGAGTGCTTGAAGAATGCTTGTAAGTGCTGCTATATGAGAGGGCCATAATCTCTATCATGTTCTCCAGCAACTCTATGAATTTCAAGAGATGCCCGGTTAGAAATCTATTTATAATATAAGAGTATGTAGTATATGAATCTTAAATAACTTTACTAAGTGTTTGGTTGGCCTTCTGCTCTTTATTTGTGGGTTCTGTGTTGATGTGTTCTGACACTAAGAGGGTGTTTTTAGTTTTAAGCCGTCACTG